CTCGACAAGTGGTTGTTAATGAGCAGGGGGTGGGACTCATTTTTTATAAATGTTCGAGAAGCTAAATGTGAGCTGAGGGTTTCCCCAGGCCCAGCAGGGCAGCAAAGGGAGGTAGGGAAGAGGCAGGATGGTAATAATTACAAACATCTTGGTAATAATGACACTTGGTCACCTCGTTTGAGGACTCTGTTCTTTTCCAAAGTGCTTCTTCTCTTTCATCTCATTAAAGGGCCTCCCTCACCCAGGGAGGCAGGAAGGAGGAGGTGTTACCTCCATTTCACAGAAGGGGAACTGAGGCCCAGTCAGGTTACTTTTCCCACAGCCACGCAGCTGAGGAGTCGGCGGGGATGACTTCCTTAAAGTCCCCTCCATACAGCACCACCTCCTTCCTGAGCTAACTGGGACTCCTCCTGGGAGTCCCAGAGCACAGATAGTCAAGTTGAGGGGACAAGAAAGGAAAGAATTCTGGCCTGGGAACCAGGCCCTGGGTTCCAATTCTGACTCCACGACAAACCATGTCAGAGTCACCCAGATAAACCAGAGATGAGGGGTGACCATGTCCCCCCACCGCTCCTGATAATGGTGCCCAGGCATCTCCTACTCCAGGCCGAGGACGCAGCCCCAGAGACCTTCTGACCACGCAGAGAGAGGAGAGAAGAATAAACGACTGAGCGCTGCTACATGGTCAGCTTTAGCAGCCGGGTAAATCCATTATCTCTAGTCCTCGGAGCATCCCTGAGAGGCAGAGGGGCGTCCTCTAGATTAAAGGTGAGGAAAGAGGTCAAACAGGGAGAAAGATTTGACCAAGGGCACAGAGTGAGGAAGTGGTGGGATTTGAACCCAAGGGTCACCCAGGGTCATCTCCTCGCAGGAGGGTCAGCTGTCTCATGCTGGTTTTGCCTGGGAGGAGCACTGCTGACTTGGTGGCGTGTGTCACCCTTACTTCTTCCTTCCAGGTTCCGGTCTCAGCACAGGTGCAGTGAGTCCAGGAGGGTGGCCTGGTGGCTCCAACAGACCTGGGTTTGAGTCCTTCCCTACCACTTACTAATGGTAGAACTTTGGGAGGGTCATGGAGCAAAGGCTCAATGACTCAGTTTCCTCATCAGTTCAATCAGGGGTTTGGTTTAGGGCGTCCGTTCTTAGCCTGGGATGAACTTAGAATCACTGTGGGAGCTTTTAAAAATACCCTTGCCTGTGCTCCACCCCAGGAGAGCGCTGTTGAATTGGTCTGAGGTGGGGCTCAGCATCAGTTTTATTTTAAAGCTCCTAAGAGATTCTAATGTGCAGCCACGTTGAGAAACACTGGTTTCTGTGCTCTCCAAGGACCAGCCTTTCCATAGCTCACATTCCACATGGAACCCTGGGCCCTGAGATCCTGTTTTACCCAAGAATCATTTGGGCAACCCTTCCTATGCCAGCCTGTAGGCCCTTGACCCCATGTAGCTCAACAGCTGGCTGGCATAAGCACACCACGACAGTGACAGCTCATCCTAGCCAATCCCGGTCCTGCCTCTGGAAGTCTGAGCTTGAACCAGCTGTTGGGCAGGAAGAATCCTGAATGCAGCTCCTTGCCATTCCCCTCCTCTACCCTCCCTCTCCTTTCTCTGGCTCTTCCCTCTCTCACTTGCCTGTCTACTTCGACTCTTATTGACCTCCTACTTTATAAGGCGAGACACATGTGAGTTTTGATGTCAGATTGGCCTGGGTTTGAATCCCGCCTCTTGCCAGGTGAACTTGGCCAGGCGCTGTCCTCAGTTCTGAACATGGGAAATCTATTTGTGTTCTCACAATGATCCTGAGAGTTTGGGAGTAATACTACCCTAATTTCACAAATGAGGAAATTGAGGCACAAAGGGCTTCATTATCTCACTCAGCCTCACTTCTCTGTCTGTAAAGGGGAAATCTTACTAGAGCTTACTTCAAGCTTATTTTGCAAATTCCATGAGATAATATACGTAAATGGCTTATCGTAGTATCTAGCACAAAGTAGTTATTCAATAAATGTAATCTATCATTATCATCGGATAATGATATATAATAGTGGGTTTTGTTATCATTTATTATTAATTCACATTTTCACCCTTCCCTGTGCATAGCAGTTTCCTCATCTGTAAAATGGGACTGATGTAGGATTGTACTATGCTTGTTCCTATCAGCTCACAAGAGGGAAATAGTGATTTTCTGTTTTGTGAGCCAGCTGATCCACATTGGTAGCTTGAAATTGGCCCTGGTGAGAGTATTTGGAAATCAACATGGAAATCAACAAACACTACAAAGCAGGGCCTTCCTCCCCACCCATCTACCCCTTGGAGACGATGGTTAAGCATTTACCAGCACAACACTGCATCCACATCACACAGTTGACCTGAGGACTAAAGGAGGGATTGGACATGATGGTCATCATAAAATACAAACTGCTGAAGGTAGGGGGTATGACCCCGAGGTGGCCTCATAGCAGCCATAGGCCTGGCACCCTTTTCTCTGCTCATTCTGGGCTACGGCTGACTTGTGAAGAAAGTAGGAGGGGGTCTGGAGCTAGGGGAGCCAGTGGTGAATCACTGACCCTTCACCATCCCCACGTGTCGGCATTAACTGTAATGGCTGCAATAAAGAATCCCGGATTGGGGAAATGATTCCATCATCCCCGCAGGAGTCCCTGGGATGCAGCCAGGGAGCCAGGGAGAGAGAGGGAGAGAGAAACAGAGAGAGAGAGAGAGAGAGAGAGAGAGAGAGAGAAATCAACCATGTCCCTGGGGAGTCACTCAGCCTGACATTGTGCCCTGTCCAAGGGTGGGGGGAACAGGCAGAGGAGAATGACAGGGAGACCCTCTCTCATAACAGTTACAACAGCTACTGTTTATTGAGTACCCACCATGAGCCTGATGCTTTATGTATCTTCGCCCTTTTCAGCAAGTCTGTGAGGGAGGCATGATTGTACTATTGTATACTGGCGTGCCTTGCCTCCGAGACAACAACCACCTGCGTTTACGGAGTTCTTAGCAAGGGCCAGGCACTGTCCTCGGTGCTGAACATGGAAATCTATTTGAATTCTCAAAACCAATCCCAGCAGTTTGGTAGTGCTATCATCCTCATTTCACAAAGGAGGAATTTGAGGCACAAAGGGATTTGTGACGTGTTCAAGGTCAAACTGCTAATAAGTGGTGGAGTCATCACTGATCATGATTAAGCACCCTGGGCCACCATCCCCAGAGCCACTCTGCCTGTGCTGACTCTGCCACCCAGGAGGGCTTTGGTCTCAGAGAGTCCTGGGCTCAAATCCCACCACTTCCTCTCTGTGTGCTCTTGGTCGAGTCTTTTTACCTGTTTGACCTGTTTCTTCACCTGTACCCTGAAGGGGCCCACTCTGCCTCTCAGAAACACTATGAGGGTTAGAGATGATGGATTTAAGTGGCGGGTGAAGCTGGACATTCACTTCTCTGGGCAGCCCTGACGTGGTTGACATGGAACCGCAGCTGCCAAAGAGAGGCGCATTGCAGGGCCGGTTTAAGAGGCTCAGGCTGGGAGGGGGGGGACACGGAGAAGGAAATGAGAAATGCAAAAGAGTGAAAAATAAATACATGTGTCTGTCTGGAATGATCGAGGGCCCCAGGCTGGAGGCGGGAGAGGCGGGCGGCAGGCTGGGTTTAGCAGAATTGCTGCAGTAGCATTTCCAGAGCCTCACTCATTAGCCGAGCAGTGAATGGGCCTCCCCTCCCAGCGTGCCACCCTGCTGGCCCAGAGAGTCCAACTTCAGCCACAGGAGGGCCCCACCCAGAACCTCATCAGGTCTGGGCGCCATCCCCTCCCTAGCAGGGCACTCAGAAGGCAGCATCTGCTGGAAGTGAGGTCTGAGTCTCATCCCCTTGGGTGAAACTTGAGGTCTCAAGTCTCATCCCCTTGAGGTTCTGAGCCCCCCCCCCCGAGATTCCTCTTGAGTCTTCTACCTCACCCCCTGCTTTCTGGAAAGGTTCAGATGGCCCAGAAGGCTTTGCCTGTGTCTCCATCCGACAACCCCTCCCCCACCCCTCCCCTCACCCCCATCCTGTCCAGCCTCACGTCCCAAGCCCTGATTTCGTCAAATTGAACATGATGTCAAATTAGAGCCATCTCTGGGACAGGCCGAGAGAAGCTCCCAGTTTAATGAGGCAGCGTCGAAAATCAATAACTTAATTGCCGCTGTTTGATGGACTTTTATCCAATTTATACTCTCCCCAGCAGCCTACGTGCAGAGCGTGCGGAGCATGTGGAGAAGTGTGTGTGTGTGTGTGTGTGTGTGTGTGTGTGTGTGTGTGTTTCTGGGGGCAGGGACTGTCTGGGCACCTAGGGGGAGGGGCGAGGAGGGCAGGAGGGCCCATAGCCAACTACTTTCCAAAGGGAAAGCTGGGCCCTGCCATCCTCCTGCCCCAGATACAAATGACACTGGCCTCTGAGCCCCAGGGAACTTGGTTATCCTCTGGGCTGCCCCAACTCTCATCGGGTTGGAGGGGGAGAAAGGCAGGAGAAAGAGAATTCTCTTGAGAAGTCAGGAGGGGCTGGGGTGGGTAGGGAGACCCTTGCTTTGTGAGTCAGGTGCCTGGTTTCCAGTCCTGGCTCTAACCCTGACCCTTATGGCCTTAACTGATGAAGATTACCATTGCCACCACCCACTGAGAGACTGAGCCTAGTCTGCCCTGAGAGTTTGAAATGCATTCCCTCGACGTTAAGAACCAAGGACTACCCCCATTTGCTGACGAGGAAACAGATTCAGAGAGGCTGCCTTCCTACAGCTGGGAGCCACCAAAGGGAGATTTGAATCCTGCTCTGATTCCATGGTCATGCTTGAGCCACAGGAAGGCCCCAGATCAGGAAGCGGGTTGGGAGTCGGTGTGGGGATGGGGACTGTGAGGGGACTGGCCATGACCCCCAGCCCGCATCTCCTCCCCCAGCTTCCCTGGGGTGGGAAGGACAGGCACAGCGGCCCCCGGGTGACCCCCCCGTCTCTCTTGGTCCCCCGGGCCCAGGCACGTCGGTGATGCAGGTGATGGCCTCGGATGCGGATGACCCCACGTACGGCAGCAGCGCTCGGCTGGTGTACAGCGTGCTGGACGGCGAGCACCACTTCACCGTGGACCCCAAGACCGGTGAGGGGCGGGGCCAGGCCAGAGGGGCGGGGCCTGGGCGGACTCGGAGGAGGGGCGTGAGAGGGCAGGGCCAGAGGGCGGGCCAAGGTCTGCGATCCGCCTTCTAACCGGACCGCGCAGAGAGTGAGGCCAGAGCGGGAGGCGTGTTGCCTGTTCCAGGGTTGCGGAGAGGGAAGGGCGGCCAGACAGAAAGAGCGAAGGGCTGAGGGACAGAAAAGAATAGGCCTGGGGGCGCCGGCAAGACTGGCAGAGAAACAAAGAAGCAGGATGCGGCCACATGGGGCGCCCTGAAAGGACTTCGGAGGTCCGAACTAAGCGGCCCTCGTGTCCTTGGTGCCAAACTGAGGCTAGTGTGGCCTGCAGCCCTTAGGGGGCCGGTCGTACGTGTATTCGGGGGAGTCAGCTGGTGGAGGGCATCTTTGCCGCGGTTGTGAACGCTCTGTTCAAAGGGCAGTTGTTACGGATCTGTTGGGAGGACCCCGTTGGAGAAGAATGACTTCCTGGCTTCTTCTCCCTCCCCCGGCACCACCAAACACAGCCCCCACTCACTTCGTCTGAGGTTAGAACCCGATGACGTCTCTGAGGGGCCTTGAGGAGGAGAGGCCCAGACCAGAGAAGCGCTGCGGCTGAGGTCACCCAGCCAGCGGGGCGTGGCTGCGGGCGCCCAGCGGGGTGTTCTCCCTGCGCCCGCGGGGGAGGGGCAGGGCAGGGCAGGGGCGACGGCGGGAGATGAGACGCGGCAGCCCCGAATGTGTTTACCTGGTGCCGTCTTGGGACTCACAGTCCGGCGGGGGCTGGGGCACACGCGCACGAGCAGTTGGGATGCAAAGTTGTGGGAGGTGGTGGCAGCTGATCGCCCAAAGGCTCAGAAAGTGCGGTCCTGAACGCGATTCAGAGAGGGGCATTCTAGGCAGCGGGCATGGTGCGGGCAAAAAACTAGGAAGGGAAACAACAGCCTGAAGCATGAGGGGAATTGTAAGCAACTCAGGACTGGGGAAGCAGGCAGGCTGAGATGTGACGTGGGCTGGCTGGCGGGGGCCCCGACTGGGCCCAGTCAGTATAAGCCAGGCTCAAGACCTTGGATTTTATTCTAAGGGTAGTGGGGGAGGGTGTATGTGCGTGATGGATCTGGGTTTTGGGTTTTTGTTTGGGTGTTTGTTTTCTTGGGGTCGGGGGTTAAGGATTCCAGGCTATGAGCACAGTTATAATTGTATTATCTCACACATAGTATCTTTGTCATTTTTTTTTTCCTCCTTGCAAAAGTAATACATTTTAGGAAACATTCCAGGGGCGCCTGGGTGGCGCAGTCGGCTAAGCATCCGACTTCAGCCAGGTCACGATCTCGCGGTCCGGGAGTTCGAGCCCCGCGTCAGGCTCTGGGCTGATGGCTCAGAGCCTGGAGCCTGTTTCCGATTCTGTGTCTCCCTCTCTCTCTGCCCCTCCCCCGTTCATGCTCTGTCTCTCTCTGTCCCAAAAAATAAATTAAAAACGTTGAAAAAAAAATTTTTTAAAGGAAACATTCCAACATTTTAAAATGTTAAAAAAGAAAGAAAGAAAGAAGAAAAGGAAAAAGAAAACAAAATTCCTACCCTTATCTCCAGTAATTGTGGCCCAAAGGTAGCCACTTGGTGTATATATCCTAGGAGATTTTGGACTCACTCACTTGAAAAATATTAAGTTTTTTAAATAGGTAACACACTTCAAGGTTCAAAACTCAAAAAGTCGTCCAAACAGATATTTAGTAGAAATTCCTCACCCCTTCCAGTCCCCCAGCCGCCCAGTCTGTGTCCCCAAGGCAACCAATGTAATTTTCTTAGATATCTTTCCAGAGCTATTCTATGCATGTACAAGAAAATAGGTACATGTATTTGTTTTATTTTTCTATACAAACGGTAGCTATAAACACACACTATACACACTGCTTGCCTTTTTCACTTAACAATACATCTTGAAGATTATTCTATATCAGTACATAAAGAGCTTCCTCATTCTTTTATTTAACAGCTGTTGTGGATACACTAAAATTTATTTCACCAGTCCCCTATTGATGGACACTTACGCTGTTTCCAATCTTTTGCTACAACGAACAATGCTACAGTGAATAACCTCATACATATATCATTTTGTGCTTGTGTGAGTATATCTGCAGGATAATTTCGGGGAAGTGGAGAAGCTGGGTCAAAGAGCACATGCATTTGGAGTCTGGATAGATAATGCCGAAATGTACCAGATTACACTCCCGAGAGCCACGTAGGAAGGCACCTGTTTCCCCTCCTCCTCACCAACACTCTGGGTTCATTGATGACTTTTAGGCAGGGAAGTGACATGCTCAGGTTTTCATTTTAACAAGATCCCTCGGGCTGCTCTCGATAGCATGGCTCAGAGGCGGGAATTGAATTCAGGGAGACTCAGTAGCCTGGGGTGCCCAGCAGAGAGCCCCAAAGGACAAACACCAAGGTCTGTGCCTTTTCTCAGCCCCTACCCAGCCTCCTTAACCTGCTCCATCCAGTTAGGGAGCCAAAGATGACACAGGATTGGTGGTGAGGGTTAGTTGAGATGCGGAGGAGGGAGAATGAGGGATGACAGTGAGATCCTGCTCAGGGCAAACCTTGGGGACCTGGATGAATGTAGGGGACTAGATTGAGGGGTTCCCACCTTTGGGTCTTGGGATGGGAAGGGGCCCCATCTACAGCAACAGAAGGAGGAATGTGGATTAAGAAAGCTAGGAGCAGAAGAATGAGTGAATGTGCCCTGGGATCTGGTGCAGAGCTAATTAATTCCATTTTAACCATAGTGGCTTTAAGATGAGCGAAGGGAGGAAAGAAACGTTTAGAACATCTAGGAGGCCGTCCGAAATATGGCCCAGAGCTCTCTGAATAGCCGGGGCTCTTTAAGCTTTGGTCTCCCATGCACACAAGAGGGATAATAAATTCTCATCTCACATGATTACTGTGAGGGTCCAACGGGAGAGTTCCTTCACTCACTCAACAGCTCTTTGTTGAGTGCCTACTAAGTGCCCGGCTCTAAGCCTATGGCAGGAGGCAAATCTAAGACCCTACCCTCCAGGGGCTTTCATCCAAGGAGGGAATGCAGACAGTAAGCATATCAATGTGTAACAGAACGTCAGGTAGCAACAAGACACAGAAAGCAGGGTAAGGGGATTGACTTCGCTGAAGAAATCAGGACAGGCCTTTCTGGGGAGGTGACGAGTGAAGGGAGGATATTAGTGTCTAGGAGGGAGCGTGCAGGCCAAGGGAGCAGCAAGCATACAAAGTGCTCGGCTCAGTATCTGCTACCTGCCCATACACAGAGGGGCTGCTGCCGCTGCTGAAGCCTTCATTCATTCAGCCCGACGAGGGGGCCTTAGAGTTGATCCCCTTTCAGAAAGGAAGAGACCGGACGTGGAAAGAAGGGAGGGGCCGGGATTGAGTCTGGGAGGTGGCAGGGGTGAGCAGTTGGAAGACCAGACTCCAAGACGATGAGGACGGCCAGGTTGTAAGCCAGAGCATGGAGGAGGGTGGCAAGTGGGAGGCCGTGGGGCCCGGGGGGCAGGGCAGGAAGGGCTCCCAAGAGGCCAGCAAGCGGGCACCAGGCTAGGAAGGTGAGGCAGCGCACACGAGCTCCCCGTCCTAGGGTCCTCAACTTGCTCAGTCGGAGAAGGTCTTTGCTGACATTTCCCAGGAAGGACCAGACTCCCCTCCCCCGCCCCCCACCTACCCTTGCCTTCAGCCCCACTGCAGGAGCCGCCCTGGTGCCATTCCCAGCCCGAGCTCCATTTCCCCAGCCAGGAATATTCCGCTGATGCGGGTCTATATTTAGCAGCTGCTGCGAGGTACAGTCTGTTCTCGCTGTGCAGATAGCAGGGAGCAGAGCCGGAACGGGCCCTGAGAGGAAGGTGTGAGGGAAAGGAGGAGGCGGGGTGCCATGAGGCCGAGTGCCAGAGGAGGAATTAACTTGTGTGTTTTAAAGGCCAGGCCTGCCAGCAAGCCCCCCACAGGGGCTACGGGGATGGCATTTGTGGGCTAATGAGGCATCGCTTGGGCTCCAGGGCCCCTTCTGCAGAATTTGGAGGGGACAGCAGGGGTGGCGAGGACGACAGCTGGAACTGGGGGCGATGGGTGAGGACAAGGCTGCAGGGAGCCGTGGCCAGGTTCTAATTCCCAGCCCCCTCCACTACCACCGCCCCCGCAGGAATAGCAAGGCTCTCTCAGAGACTTCAAGATACCTGCTGAAAAGTCTCAATTGGGGCCAGACATGTCTGTTTTCCCGGGATGAATGAAACAAACCTTTGCTGAGCACCTTCTAAGTGCCAGATCCTTGGGTCAGGATGATAAACTAAATCTGGTTTCTGCCCCCACAGGGCTTCTGTTCCAACAGAGAAGCCAGAGACCGACAGACAATGCCACCCACACAGTGAGAGGGGGGACAGAGGGTCCGTGGCCATAGGTCAGGCAGTCCAGATGTTTACTGAACACCTACTATGTGCCAGACCCGATAGGTAAGATGATGAACAAGGCCAGTATGAACCTCTGCCCTCATGGAACTTATTTATCGGGTAACCAAATCCAGGACTTGAGGAGTGGGGGGATCATCAAGGCATCCCCGGAATGTGAGACCTGTCACTGGCAACTTTGTCTCATTGAACCGTAGCCCCATTTTATAGAATAGGAAGCTGAGGCTCAGGGGGACTCAAGAGCTTGCTCAAGGTCAGATAGCATGTAAATGGCGGAAAGAAGACTCGAACCAGTCTGTCTGACTCCAAAGTCCCTCCTTTTTGTACTGCCTCATATGTGACTCTGTGGTCCTTATGCATAGTAGGTCCTCAATAAGTAGTAAGTAGCGTAGTAGGTCCTCAGTAAGTAGATCTAATAAATGAGTGAACGAAGGGACTTAACCGAGCCAGAAGGTTTCAAGGACGACTGTAGGGGCGCCTGGGTGGCTCAGTCAGTTAAGCGTCCGACTCTGGGTTTCAGCTCAGGTCATGCTCTCACAGCTTTGTGGGTTCGAGCCCCACATCAGGCTCAGTGCTGGCAGTACAGAGGCTGCTTGGGATTCTCTCTCTCTCCCTCTCTAGCTGCCCTTCCCCCACTAGTGCTGTCTCTGTCTCTCTCACTCAGTCTCACAGAGCCGGGGGAAAAGGCACCAGCCTCCAGGGTGCTCCTCCCAGCATCAGAAGGTGGGAAGTGGGGAGCAGAACACAGCAGGTTAACAAAATATGCCGTCAATTCCTCCCACCCCTCTAGATAAAGTGACTTGGCCACTGCTCCTGTCGAGAGGGGAAGTCTTGAGGGGTGCCTGGCTGGCTGACTCTGTACAGCCTGAGACTCTTGATCTCAGAGTCATGAGTTTGAGCCCCTCGTTGGGCTTACCGAAAAAAACAGAAGAAAGAAAAGAGGCGGAGTCTTGAATCTGGGAGCAGAGACTGTGTTCTGCCAAGTCCCAGATTAGACCTTAGGAGACCTCGTGGCCTTCACTCTTCCTCTTCGAAGACCACCATCTAAGGAAGCTAGCCGGCCTGCTAGAGACAGGAGAAGCCCCAGCTGACAGCCGGGACCAGCTGCCACACGTATGAGGCATGAGGCCACACTGGGCCTTTCAGGCAGCTGATGAGCCAGTGAAACGCGGCTGCACGAGTGAGCCCAGGAGAGGAACGGGCCCGGGAACGTGATTTCTCCATCAGCTATCTACGGCTGTATGACAAACTGCGCCCAAACATAGTGACTTCAAGCAGCAACAGTTTATTATTGGTCATAATTCTGTGCGTTGGCTGGGCAGTTCTTTTGCTGGGGTCACTCGTGTGGCAACAGTCAGTGGGCCAGTCAGCTGGGACAGCTGGCGTGGCTGGGCCCCTCCCTCCGTGTGGCCTTTCCTCCTGGGCTTTTTTCCAGCACAGTGGTCTGGGGGTTCCAAGAGGACAGGCCCCCCAGCACACAAGGGCTGGTCGAGCCTCCGCTTCTGTCACACTCGCTGATGCCGTGTTGGCCAAAGCAAGCTGCGTGGCCAAGAGTCCGTGTGCCAGGCGGTGACCCAAGGGTGTGCGTGACAGCTGGTGTGCTTTAGGGGGAGCACTGCAACCTACCGCTGGGTGTGATCCCAGGGCTGGGTCTAGAGGCAGCAGAGCCGCTGGGTACCCACCTCCTAGTCTCCCAGAGATGACAGCTCATCATCTACATGCCTTCGTGACCAGTTTCCAAGAGCTTAGTGTCCCCACGTCCTCTGGAGCTAGAATCAGCAGGGGCAGCAGAGCCTAGCCCTCAGCCCCACTCACGAGCTTTTGGAGCACGAGCTCACAGACGCTCGGCGGCCCCGAACCCCAACACCCCTCTACATTCAGTGAGGTCCTGGATGCAAAGCGAATGCACACAGCTTAGCAGGCGGTAAGGGCTCCACTGCTCAGCTCCCCTCCGGGCCCCTCTGACTGGTGCGCTCAGGGAGCCCCTGTCTCTGGCCCGGTGGCCCCTTCCTCCCTCCCACCACCTTTCTTCACCCCTTCCCAGCGCTGTGACTCCGTTGTCTGTCTCGGTTGTTCTCTGCCTTTCTCTCCCCGCTCCTCTCTCTCCAGGCCTTTGGCTTCCTGTTCTTCTCTCTCCGTGTGTCCTCCTGAGTGTGCATTTCTCTCTGCTTGACCACTCCCCTCTTTTCCTCTCTCTTTCGGGGCTCCTTAGGTCTCCCTCACCGTCTGTTCCCTGGTCACGAAGGCACTGTCCCCAGTGCCTGTCTCTCTCGTCTCTTCCCTCCTGCCTCTCACTAGGTTCCTCTCCATCTCTCTTCCCCAGGCCCCCGTGTCTTTTCTGTCTCTTCTCTCTCGTCTTCTGCTCTTTCCTTCCTTCCAGCCCCCCGGGGCAGAGAGCACTGGTGGGCCCACCTTCCCCGTTCAGTCCCCGCCATCTGGGGCTGCAGAGCCTCAGCGGACAGACCAGCAGAGGCCCCGGGCCCTCCCCTCATCACCAGAAGGGCGCCCTGTTCCCAGTCCCAGTGTCGGGGCGCAGCACCTGGGGCGGGTCAAGGAGGGCCTGCTCTGACCAGAATTGGGGTTGGTGGGGCGGGTGCTGCTACTGACATCTAGTGGGTAAGCGTTATGCCACCCAAAGCGGCCATCGCGCCAAGGTTGAGAATGCCCGTTCTTCGGGGAGGTATTGTATTTGTCCCATTTTACAGACAAGGAGGTTCAGAGGAAGGGATTTGCCCAAGATCACATGGCCAACAAATGGCAGATCTGGGATTTATCCCAAGTTCAGCTGCTTCTAAGACCCCTCTGACCTGGGGAAGACCATTCTCAGAGGGGTCATCAGCAGGGAGCCTATTGAGGGGATTGGGAGGCCGCCGATGGAGGGTCTGCACGGCTCTTGATCAGACAGACGACACATTTTCCGTATCTCCGTGCGATCCCATAAACGCAGGGCCACCTCCTAGATGCCCTCCTCCTGGCTCCCCCAGCCACACGTACAAATGCACACACACGCTGCAACCTCTCCCCTCGTTCTGTTGCCTGTATTGGAGTCTGGGGGCTGTCTGGGGACATCAGGAGCCGGAGATTGGGTTTTATGGGGCGCATCTTGGGGCTGCTGGTGCATGACTCCACCTGGCGCTCAGGCCCCGGGCACCACCTGTCACCACCTGGTCCTCGGCAAGTTGGAGTGAGTGGCGGGGGAGGCTCTGAATGCCTCATCGACTCTCCCCTCCACCTTGGGCTCCCACTGGCAGGGAGACAAGAAGCCCGGCCTTCCGCTCGGCAGAATTAATCTTGCGGTCACCCCCATTCCTGCGGCCCCTGCCCCTCTTGCACTGACAGCTTGAAGGATCACCTGATCAGTGATCAGCTAGTGCCTGGACAGAGCATCTAGGGCCGGGCACAGGGACCCTAGGGCTGACTCCGGGGTGGAGAGGGGTGGGTGAAAATAAGAGTGCGCACTTGTAGCCGTGAGGGTGCACGTGCGTGGGCGTGTGTGCGATCTCACGTATGTTCTTGCGTGCGCTCTTATGTAAGCGTACGGGACGTACCCGGTGTGTGAATCCGGGTGAGTGAGTCGGTGCCCTGTAACACTCCGCGAGCCGCTGCTCCTTGCCTGGCTCTGGTGAGCGCCACCGACAGATGAAGAGCACATCTGTTTGAGCAGATGTGAGTGCGAGTTATCTGTACGAGCACATCTGCGTGAGCGCGTGGGGGAGCGTGTGCCCTCGTGCGCGCCGGCCGCTGGGCCTGCTTCTGGACATTGCCACCTCCGCGTCTTCTGCGCTCCCCTCCTGAACTTGCCCGAGCCCGGCCGCTGCCCGTGGCGGGGTCTCCGTGTCAGCCGCCAGCTCGTGGGGGGGGGGGGGGGGGCATCCGTGGCCTCACTCTCACTCACCCACAGGCGTGATCCGGACGGCCGTGCCCGACCTCGACCGCGAGAGCCAGGAGCGCTACGAGGTGGTGATCCAGGCCACAGACATGGCGGGCCAGCTGGGCGGCCTCTCGGGCTCCACCACCGTCACCATTGTGGTCACCGACGTCAACGACAACCCACCCCGCTTCCCGCAGAGTGAGTGAGGCCTTCCCAGGGGGACACGGTCACATCTGCATCTGCCCGGTAGACGCCCAGCACCTCTCCCGTCGGGCTGCCGTGGCGGGGGTCCTGGGGGTCCGGGGGTCCGTTCTTCCTTCCAGGCCACCAAGCGACCGCATGACCTCATGCTTCCCCTTCGGCTTCGGCCAAAGGAAGGACTGGAATCTGTCTGTCTGTCCACCCAAGTCACCCACTTACCCCCAGGCCCCCGCCCATCGTGCTTCTTGCAGAGGAAGCCCTCAGAGTTGTCTGATTTCCCACGCGGCCACGTAACGTGGTTACCTTCCCACCCCTCACCTTGCTTCCTGCCGAGGCTGAGCCCCATCCGTCCACCTGCTCCAGCCCCTCGCTGGCCCGAGCACACACCCCACTCCGCTTATTCCATGTGATGTGCCGCAGACCCAAGTTTGGGGGACACGGGGGTGCAGACAGCGACCGCAGCCAGACCCAGGCCGAGGTCCACCCACGCTGCATGGAGAAGCTGAGGTCCGGGGTGACAGGCCCGTCCCCACAGTGAGCCCAGAGGACAGGACCCTGTTCTGGATTCTTTCCGCTCTCCGCCTCTCCTGGCACAACCGGGGATGGGAGGCTGGCTCCGTGGCCGAGTCCCTCACCTCCCCATCAGCCCAGCCAGCCCCTCTGTCCAGGCCTCGGCTGGGAGCCGCACTGGGGAAGCTACCGAAGCTGGCAGAGACTAAATGCCGCGGGGAGCCGGGCTGATCCCTATCGGAGAGTCATTACTTGAGGTCTGCTGCTCTCACATTAGGCCCGCCACAGGGGACTGACCCCCGCGAGATAAGGGAATCCAATCCCTTAGCTGAGAGCGCACCATCATCCGGGCCTAGCGCCTCAGCCCAGACTCAGAGTGGGGTGGGCAGAGCCTGGAGCCAGCTCTGTGTCGCGGGGGTGGGGGTGGGGGGGCAGGGAGCCTGGTGCGGAAACTGGCCCGCCCACTCCCCCGGCCCAGCCGCACTGCTGATGGGGGCGCTTGGAGGCATCGTGGGGACGGGTGGGGACCTCCCAGTCTCATGCCCAGTTGGGCGGGGCTCTGTGCCAGCTCTGAGCCACAAGCAGTGGGGCAGAGCAGAGGAGAGGGCCCCCGGGCCCCCGGAAGACTCTCGTCTACTCATTCGCTTACTCATTCTTTCTCTCTTTTGAACATTTCTTTATTGTGAGCCACACACCCAAACGGGAGGGTGTAAAATATAAATGGCCCGTTTGGCAAATAATTCTAAAGCGGACACTTCCCGCAACCACCCTTGAAGACCCCCCCCCCCCCCCCGAAGCCTCCATGTGCCTTTCCTAATCATAACTCACCCCCACACCCCCTCCTCCAGAGTTAAGCCCCATCTGCTTTTGAGATTGCCACCTCTTTGCTTTGGAGTCACTTGACCTATACACGCATCACCTGACGTCCCTCCTTAAGTTCACCTGTTTTTTTAACCTTATATAAACAGAATCCTACCATATAACCTGGTTGTGTCTTGCCCCCCCCCCCCCTTAAAATTCGTAGGTCATGCTTGTGGCTACAATGTATTCATTTTCATTGCTGGATCGTGTTCCACCATGTACCCGTTCTATGTCCACGGACATTTGGTTTGTTTCCAGTTTGAGGCCATTATGAAGGATACTGCTGCATACGTTGTTGTACCTCGCTGAACATCTCCAAGTCGCGTTTTGCGTGCATTTCCCCAGTGTATGTACAGAGGAAGAGGGGAATAGCTGCCTCATGGGATGTACTCATCTTCAGCTTTACTAAATGAAGCCAGACTGTTCCCCCCACGAAAAAAACGCACGCATCCGCTATAGGACATCCTCACCACCACTTGCTATTGTCAGACTCTTGAATCCGGGTTAGCCCCGCGAGCGTAGACGAGTAACTCCTGCTCCTTTCCGTTCATTCACTCCCTAGTCACTCACACATTTCATTTATGTGACAGTTTGGTGTTCTGCCAGGCTTCGAGGACGCCTGATGAATAAGAGATACGGTTCCTGCCTTCCAGGAGCTCACACCCCAGGCAGAGGAGAGAGGAGAGAGCAGGGAGAGAACAGGCAGAAAGGGAGAGGGATGAGCTTGGTGGCCCTGGGGCACAGGAGCAGAGCCTGGAGGTTAGTCTGAGAAGGCTCCCTGGAGGAGGGAACATTCAGGAAGACTGAAGGAAGGGTAGGAATTGGGGAGGGCGCAAGAGAAGGGAAAAGAGAGGGAGATAAGGCATTACAAGTACCTCGGGCAGGTCTGGGCTCGGGGAGAGGGAGGCTGAGGCTGCAGACTTGGGCAGGGGCCAGGCAGCAAGCGTCCTGTGGGGCAGGCCGGAGGTCTCGGACAGCCTCACCTCAGGGCAGCGGGAGCTATGGAAGGGATTCAAGCAGGGGAGTGGCACCGTCAGCCTGTTTTAGAAAGAGCCCCGTGCCGGCTGTTGTGTGAGAATGAATCAGAGGCCGCCGTTTCACACAAGTCATCCAGGCTTGGGGACTCCAAGCGGCACATCCCCAGCTCCACGGCCCCTGCGTCACCTGCACTGACCCTCATCTCGGCCTCAACTCTGGGACGAGAGCAGGGTACTGCTTGTGTCCCATCTGACCTCATTTCTTCTTGTTTCTGCTCTGCTTCTCCCCTCCAGCCACAACGGCCATCTTGCCATTCTTCAAACACGCCAGGCATTTACACCCACCTCAGGGCCTTTGCACCTGCCATTCCCTCTGTCTGGCATGCTCTTTCCCAAATATCTGCTTGGCCTACTCCCTCACCTCCCTCAGACTTTTGCAAAAATGTCATCTTCCCCGGGAGCCTTTCTTGATTCCCCTATTTAAAACTCCACACACACCCTCATCGGTATTCTCCGTTCCCCTTCCCCTACTTTATTTTTCTCCAAAGCACCTATCACCATTTGATATACTGCCTGTTTTACTGATGTGATTGTTTGTGTCTTTCTCTTCCTGTTTAAGAGGAAGGCACTGAGAGCTGGGATTTGGGTCTGTTTTGCTTGTTGCCATAAGCCCGGTGCCTAGAACTGCATCTGAGATGTCGCAGGTGCTTAACAAATCTGTGGAAAGGAAGGAATCGATGTCATGAACACCAACGGCAACAGAAAAATCAGCATGAAGCCCCACTACCGTAATATAGTTTGTTCCCGTTATCGAGCAGCCACCATGGGCCAGGCTCTGTACTAAGCACTTTTCATGCTCCATCATCTCAGTTAATCGGGATAATGGCAGGGCTGTTAGGAAGACACTATTATTATTTCCATTCTACAGATGAGGACACCAAGGCTGAGGATTACACAGCCAGGGCTGACTCCAGAGCCTGGGCCTTGACCGCTGTGCTCCTCTGTGCCCCTCGTGGGCAGATGGGGAAACCGAAGCCCTCCAATCTGCAGGCACTTTCCCTAACCAATCAGCAAATAAACCCAGGGTCAGAATGAGGACCCTCCTCTTTGCACTGCCCGCTTGCGAGCCCCTTGCAGACACTGTCCTCCCTGGAGCCCATCTGGACCCCCCCCCTCCTGTCCCCTAAAGCTGGTGGAAGTCAGGGTAGGGGCTGCTCCCCATCCCTGTTCACAGCTGTGTCCCCTACAGAGATGTACCAGTTCAGCATTCAGGAGTCGGCCCCCATCGGCACGGCTGTGGGACGAGTGAAGGCCGAGGACTCAGACGTGGGCGAGAACACAGACATGACTTACCACCTCAAGGAGGAGAGCGGCAGCGGCGGCCATGTGTTCAAGGTCACCACGGACAGCGACACTCAGGAGGCCATCATTGTAGTGCAGAAGGTGTGCCCCCCCCCCCCGCCCCCACCGCCTCGAGGGACAGGGGAGGCCGACCCAGGGTGGCCAGGTCTGGGAGGCCTCAGAGCAGCCAGACAGCCCCACCCCACTCGGCTCCAGAGATGAGGTCGCTCCAGAGACCCAGGACCAGCCTGGGGAAACTGTGATGGCACCGGCCCCATTTTGCAAACGAGAAAATGAGGCCCAGAGAGGATACGAGGCTTGTGCAGGTTGCACAGCTAGTTACGCGAGCCAGGATTCAAACCAGATTTGGCTCTGTGCTCGTGTAATCACTGCCACAGGCTCCTTCGAGTCCACACCCTTCACTCTCATCATTTCCTTTAATTCTCGTGTTTCCCTCTGAAGAGACTTCAGTCCTTCGGCCCATTTTTGCCAGTGAGAAAACAGAGGCTCAGAGGGGTAAAAGGGCTGGCCCAGGGTCACACCAGGAGGGGGCAGAGTCCGGATTTGAACCCCGGTTGGTCTGGTCACTCCAGGATGGGATGCTCGCTCCCTGCCCTTGTCCAGAAGCTAGCTCTCCCCCCCCCCCCCCACTCAGCCAGATTGTGTCGCCCTAAATCTGCTGCTGTCAGCCTGGGTCCTGCCTTCTGGGACCCACAGCAACACCTGCCCCGAGGGCCCTTCTTTCACTCAATGAGCATCTAACGACCTGCTCCCTACCTGGCCTCCAGGGTGTGAAAAGAGAAGACCCCCAGTTTCTCCAGCTACTTCCCATAAGATTAAAATATAATAGCTATTACTGCTAATAATAAAGTGTAGACTGTGTGCTAGGCACTCTTCAACTGCTTTTCATGTATTAACTTATTCGATCCCAAGGGTACTATTATTGCCCGTTTTATAGATGAGAAACTGAGGCCATGAAAATTCAATAATCTGCATCCAAGGTCACGTACCTTGCAGAGCAGAGTAGGGCTATGAGCCCAGGCAGTCTGGCTCCACAATCCACCCTTTTTTTTTTAAATAATTTTTAAAGATGTTTTTATTTATTTGGGGCGGGGGGAAGGACAGAGAGAGAGGGAGACAGAGATTCCAAAATAGGACCCACGCTGTCAGCGTGAAGTCCGACATGGGGCTGGAGTCCACAAGCCATAAGATCATGACTGAGCCATCCAGGCACCCCACACTTTTTTTAAATGTTTATTTATGTATTTGGGGGGCAGGTGCAGAGAGAGAGGGGAGGGCAGAGAGAGAATCCAAGCAGGCTCTGTGCTGCCAGCACAGAGCCCGCTCTGGGGCTCAATCTCACGAACCCGGTAAGGTCAAGGCCTGAGCCGCAATCAGGAGTGGGATGCCTAACCAACTGAGCCACCCAGGCGCCCCCAGGATCTACCCTTTTAAGCTTACATGGCTTTCAGTCTTCTGAGCTCCATTTATCCTCACGGAAGATGAGCGCATTTCACAGATGGGGACCAGCATCACAGAGCAGCAGAGTCCGGTCCCAAGTCCTGCCTCTGCATTTGCTCTCATCCCCAGGCTGCTCCTAATCCCCTCCCCCCATCCCGGGCCCCTCCCACCTGCTCCAGCCCTGGCGCCTAAGGTGTCTCTGTGGAGTCACGCTGGCTCGGGGAGCGGAGCCCATGCCTGATTGATGGCCTGGCTCCAAAGCCCATCGCTCACTCACAGGCTCGGCTACCGCCAGCCTCCCTGCGTCCTGATTTCCCAGGCAACAGGACAGAGGACGGAGGTGGTCTTTTTGCTGCTGGAGAAGGTGCGGGGGGGTGGGGGGGGATGTTCTGAGAGAAACGGAGGGTCGCTACGCACAGGGCAGGTCCCCAGGAAGGTTACCCTTGCCACTCAGATAGCTCCCCCCACACTACTGAGGTGGCTGAGCTCCGCCACTGTGATTTCTCTTTGCTGTAAGGCGTTGTCTTTAGAAGGCCGGAGCGGACACACAGCCCTGGAGCTCATTCATCAGAAGGTCACCCATTAGTACTCCCTGATGAGAAGCAAGGCTCAGCGTGGGTTTAGCCAGATTTCCAAGGAAAGCTCTAAGGCAGCCTGGCTTATCAGGCTCAACTCACATTAGTTGCTGCTGCCTACACAGCACACCGGGGGAATGTCTCTTTAACCCTCACAACTGAGGCCCAGAGAGGCTAAATAGATGGCCCACAGACACACAGCGAGTCAGCCGCAGAACCAGTGCGCTGTCCTCTCCCGTGAGGAGGGGCCAGGACTCGAGAGCTGCGCTGGCCCCGGGTTTGAATCCTGCCTCTGCCGGTGACTAAGTGACCTCGGCGAAGTTACAGAGCCTTCTGGGCCTCCACGTGCTCCTGTGTAAAATGAGAGAATCACAACCCAAGCCTCTTAGGGATGTTGTAAAATCAGATGAGTTAATGTATTTAAAGCACTGGTGCCTAGTAAGTGCTTCGTGAATTAATACGTGAATCAAATGCCCCAACATTCTGTGCTGGGAGGCGGGAAGTTGGGGGGGGGGGGGCAGTGGCCTTTAGCCCTGATGGGCTGTGTGTCCCTAGGCAAGACTGTCCCCTGCCGTCTCACTTTGCCCACCTGCGACCAGGGAAGGTTGGTCTGGGTCTCCAACGCTGGTTCCTTGGTGCAGTCCATTACTCGGGCTCCCCCGGCAGAGTCGACTGACGAGACCTTGGGCCAGCCCCGCCCCCTCTGGGCCCGCCTCCCTCACCTCCTCTCCCGACGCGGACCCCACCCGGCCCCCTCACCCGCCCTCTGCTCCCTCCCCGCAGCGCCTGGACTTCGAGTCCCAGCCCGTGCACACCGTGGTCCTGGAGGCCCTCAACAAGTTCGTGGATCCCCGCTTCGCTGACTTGGGCACGTTCCGCGACCAGGCGATCGTGCGCGTGGCCGTGACCGACGTGGACGAGCCCCCCGAGTTCCGGCCGCCCTCCGACCTCCTGGAGGTGCAGGAGGACGCGCAGGTGGGCTCCCTGGTCGGCGTGGTGACGGCGCGGGACCCCGACGCCGCCAACCGGCCCGTCCGGTGAGACCCCCGCCCGGGGCCACGCCTGCTGCCTGCTATCCCGCCACTGCCCCGCGGACGGACTGCGGGCACAGGGGGAGGGGCGGGGGGGGGGAGAGAAGGAGGGTGGACACAGAGACCAAGGAAACAGGTGTGAGAACGGTCACCGAGAGGCAAGGGACTCAGGACAAGGAGGGAGACCCAGGAGCGACAGACGCCGCAGAGTGAACCGGGCTCAGCCCCTCTCCTCTGTCTATACTGGCTCCCTCGGTGCCCTCAGCCTATCCATCCACATGCCTATGACCCCCGATTCCACACTCTTGCTCACCTGGCCATCTGGCTCCCCTAGGCACCCCAGACTTCACCATGTTCAGCTCCAGGTCTCTCCACCCAAAGAAAACAAAAACATAAACACCCTAACAGTTCAGATCAAAAATGTTGGAGACCCCCTGACTCCCGCCTCTCTCTCACACCTCCCTCCGAACCACCGGCACGTCCCCGCCATCCCCGCTTTAGCAGGCTATCCAGAATCCGACCGCCTCCCTCCACGTCTGCTGCTACCCCCATTCCTGAACTTCCCCCTACCCCGCGCTGGTCTCCCTGCTTCTGCCCCGCCCCCTCTTTAATCCGGAACTGGCCCGGGAGGCTCACGATCCTGCCCAAACAGAAATCAGAGCACCGCCCTCCTCTGCTCAGAGCCTCCCCGCCCCCCCCCCACCACCACCCAGAGGCGCCCATCTGGCTCAGAATAAAAGACCAAGCTCTCACAATGACCCCCAGAGCCATGAGCTCTGTACCCTCTCTGACCCTTGCTCCCATGGCCCTGCTTCCTAGTTCTCTGCTCAGCCACACTAGCCCCCTCACAGCCCCACAGATGTACCAAGCTCACTCTCGGCCTCCGGGCCCTTTGTGACTGTTGATTCCTCTGCCTAGAATGTTCCCCTCCTTAGTACCCCCGCAATCTGTCGTCTTACTTCCCCCCGGTCTTTGCTCGGCACCCCCCCCCCAACCCCCAGCCCCACCACATCACGATCTGACATACGACCTATTTTTCTGACTACTTTGCGTGTCTCCGTTCCACTATAAGATAAGCTCCGTGAGGGTAGGGGATTCTGTTTACCCTCAGGGCCTAGCCTGACGCCCAGCACTCAGTGGACATTCACTGCCTGCATGGTGAGTGACTGGAATAGAAAAGCAGACAAAGACTGAGAAAAGAGACAGAGAGAGACTCAAGGGGATGGGGAGAGACCCCCAATGGGAGGAGGAGGCCAGAGAGAGAGGGGGGAGCCAGTGGAAAGGGGGGGAGTACCTAAAAGAGGCAGAGGGCCTACCTGACAATGTAGAGACAGCGGAGATTTGCTGAGAAAGCCAGAAAGGGGAAGAAAGAGAAACAGACACAGGGAGAGAGAGGGGCGAGCAGGGAGGGAGGCAGGAGCGTCCAGGGGAGGGGACGCTGCAGCTCTGTCGGTGTCCCTGACTGTGACCCAAGCTGGAAGAAGGTCGGACAGAAGAGAAGGGAAGAAAGGCTGCAGCAGAAACTGATCCAGAGGACGTCAGGGGGGTAGGGGCAATGGCCATTGTTGGACAGACAGGAAGGAGATTCCTGAGCTCCCTGCTTCCTCCCCGAAATCCCTGTACATAATCAGTAAGTAGTCCCTGAACCAACTATGTGGCTGAGCAGTGAAGAGAGGGAGAAAGGAGGTTAGTTTGAGGATCTCTGCATTACACAATTCCGGATGGGTAACATTCTCATCACCATCCATGGGAATGGTTCCCTGAGTTGTACAGTGCACAGCCTGTGCAATCTTACATGGCGGCCCTGGGTGAGGACGCAGAGAGGCCATCCTGCCACTGTCTGTGGGCTCCCAGACTGGGAAATGCCCTCAGGGGTCTTAAAAGACCTCCTTGGAGGAGGCAGGAAACTAACCGAGCTGGTCCCTGCGTATGGTCAGGTGTAAATACGAGGTGAAGGGCATTCCAGGCAGAGGAACAGCATGTGCAGACAGATGGAGGCAGGGGAGTGGTAGATGTGCTGGAGAAGAGCAGCTGTGATGGCTACAGTGGACTGAGGGAGACGAGGCAGCAAAAGCCAAGTCTGACAGGCCTCGAGGGCCTCTGTCCAGAGGGCCTGGGCCGCCCCTGCCCTCGTCAGAGCCGTCCTGCCGCCTCTGAGCTCCTCCGTTGCCCTTCCGCCCAGGCATCTGGCGGCATCTCCCTAGCCTCTGGCTGGACCGCAGACCTCTCCCAGGAGGGAATCGTCACCCACGTTTGGGAGGAAACTGAGGGCCAGGCCGGGGAGGAGGTGCCCCCGGAACCTTCCCAGGGAGTTGAGAGCCAGGAGTAGGAGCTGAGTCCTTGCCTCCCAGGTTAGTGCTCCTGTCTGCCTGCTCCCCTCCCCTGCAGTGTGGCTCTCACACCCCCTCTTAGTCTCCCCCCTCCTCCCTCCCTTGGCTTCCCTTTCCTCCGGCTTTTATCTGCTCGGAAAGGGCCGACTTTGAAACCAGCTTCTCACCTTCTTTCATCTCTCTTTGCTGGCCCCTTCCCTGGGGCTCCTCAGCGAGGAGGAGCTCGAGACAGGTCCAGTTTAACACCACAAACATTTACCCAGCTCCTCCTCATGCCCGCCCGGCCCTGAGCCAGGCCCGGGGAAGCTGACTCAGCCAAGGGCAGAGCTGGGGAGGAGCACCCCCGTCTACAGAGGACAGACATGGAAACAAGAGGCCGGTGAGGTGCCACTGAGAGACAGAAGGGCTCCTCATGGGACCCACGTACTGCCCAGAGCCCAGCTTGTATCCCAGCTCCTGATCTCTAAGGGTCAGCGACTCAAGTCACCACCTACACGTTGAGTCAAGGGGGAAACAAAGGTAAAAAAAAAAAAAAAAAAACCTCTTCCCCGGACGCATAGAGGCTGCCTTCTCCCGGGGCGGGGACACAGTCTACAAGTAGTGAAGCATTCGTTGACAGTCTTGAAATAATTGCTGAGAAGAGCTATGAAGGGAGTAAACAGGGTAATGGGATAAGGAGGGTTGGGGCAGCAGGGGCTACTATGGAATGAGTAGTTGAGGAGCTGGCAGATGAGCTGAGATCAGATAAAGAGAGAGGCCGACCTGTGAAGCTGTGAGGAAGAGCGGTCAGGTTCAGGTGGAGGGAACAGCGAGTGCAAAGGTCCTGAGGCAGGGGCGGCTTGGTATGTTCTTGGAGGTGAAGACATTAAGTGGTGTCCTGGGAGATTTTGCCTACCACATTAGGCACCTGGGGAATGCAGAGGTGCAGATACACAGAGTGATATCTTCCTGAGTTCAGCACTGGGAAGAGTGGACAGTGCCTCGCATTGTGGCATTTCCCCCTCAGGAGGAATCCTACTCGGTTTACAGAGGGAGGTGAAGCACAGAGAGAAGTGACTCTCCCAGTGTCATGCTGCTTGAAAGAGGAAGGAATGGTTTAACCCATTATTGTCAGCTTCTTGAGTCCAGCCTCCGGTTCGTGTCCACCCCTGCTTCTTACTCTCTGTGTGGTTAGGTGTCCTCCCCTGTGCGGAAGGCACACAGGCGAATCAGACGCGGGCCGACAGGAGGGCTAGGCCCCCACGTGAAGGCATCTAGTGACAGATCTAAGTCCCAGTGGTCTTGGCCTGAGGCAGGGGCTGGGGGAGTACAGAACTCCACGGAAGGGCAAGTAATCGGTGCGCGCCACGGAGGGGAGTGAGCCCAGGCTTCCCCAGAAGGCCCCAGAGCGAGGCTGAAGAGGCGAGGTTGGACCAGGGAGAGGGCGCTCCAGGTTGGGGTGACGGGGAGCGCCGGGCGATAGGAACAGAGGCATGGAGCCAGGAGGTTAAGTCCAGCCGCAGGATGATTAGCTGGACGAGCTCGTGTCAGGGTGTGCGGCGATGAGGACAGAGGGGCACTTGGGACAGGCTGGGAAGGACCCTGAACGTCAGGTGAAGCAGTAGGACTCTGTGCTTAGGCGATGGGAAGCCTTGGAAGCTTTGGAGGGAGGAAGGACGGTGCTCGGATGGGCTCATCTCTGAGGGGCAGAGAGGCCCTTGATCAGCCCAGCATAGCCCTACAGCCCGGCGGGTCTCCCTTGAACACTGAAAACAGCCAAGCCCACACCGGGCCAGAGGGAGCAAATATCTCATTTCCTCCCAGCTCTCCACAGTGGGGTGCGGCAGAAAGTACGTAGGCTCTGGAATCGAAGAGGGCCTGGCTCGGAATCCCAGCTCAGTTATCGAACCGTGGGAAAATCACTGGACCCACAGCGAGCCCCAGTTTTCCCATCTCTAAAATGGACATCACGATAGTACCTGCCTCATTCTTTTACTCAAAAAAAAAAAAAAAAATAGGTATTAAATGTCTCCTGTGTCCTACTAGGTTCCGTGCTTGGCACTCCCAGGGTTGGAGGGAGGCTTGTTTGGCACATAGTAGGTCCTCAGGAAATGGACATTACTATTTTTCTTCGTGGCCTGGCCACCCGTTTCTACCCTTCATTCCGCAGCCAGTACTAACCACATACGAATTCCCAGGCATCATGTGTGGGCTTTAAGTGGGTGTCTTAAGCCGGGGCTGGGGAGGGGGGCAGGGTGTGGGCGGGTAGGAGAGAAAGAGTCACAGACAGGGTGGAGGGGGCAGAGGGGACTCCCTGCTGGCGGGTGGGGGAGCCCCTTTTGCATCTGAAGAGATTCTCCCTCCAGTAGCTCCGTCATTCATTCAGCCTCCTACCGAGCCCACCGGGGAGCGCTGGGCAGGCCATACACGCGGGAGCCTCAGCCTTTCGTGTTTATCGTGCCTGTGTGCGTTGTCTATGCAGATAGTTACCTGGAGAAAAACCACGTGCACACCGGGGCCAGGAAGCAGTACCCTCCCCACTCCTCCCACCCTTAACCTTGACGACAGCGGCAGTTGGGGCTGTTAGAGTGTGTGGGAGTGCCCGCAGGTGTACCCGGCTGGCTCTGAGGGGCGTGTTCTTAAGACCTGAGGCCCTGGACCCGTGTGGGCTGGGAACCTGGCTCTGCCACTACGCAGCCCTTTCGACCCAGGGCAAGGCGTCCGGCTTCTGAGAGACCAGTTTCCTCATCTGCGACATGGGGGTGATAAGAGTACCCGGGAAGATCTGAGGAGCTCACGCGTGTAAAGCCCGCCCGCAGGCCTGGCAAAAAGCATCAGAGCTGACTCACCGGGCACGCGGCAGGTGCCCAGTGCTCTCGTGAGTGTTGTGCTGCTAGTCGCTTGTCTAATCCTCGCCGCCGCGGGGTCAGCAGTAAGGCAGGTATTGATAGTATCTCCATTCTTAAGAGGAGGAAACAAGAACAGAGAGATTAAGTGATTTACCCAAGGCCACACAGCTAGATTTCAAACGAAGGCCGCTGGGCACCAGATCGGCACTGCAGACCTCCATCCCGGGGCCTCCCCTGCACGCATGCACAAGCGTGCACGCGCACGCACACTAGCTGACACCTACCCACACTCTCTCGCTGCGCTTCTCCACCCACACCTGTGCCGCTTCCCCTTCCTGCCCTCCAGGCCCCAGCGGACTGAACCAGGAGCAGGACCTTCCAGACTCACAGCTGCCTCCTGCCCTTCTCAGCCCACTGGCAATACTCTGGGCCGTCCATACAGGGTGCCTCCCACAACCCCCCCCCCCAACCCAGAGCACACGGACCACATTCTGGGTGGGAGGGGCTCCTGCGTACCCCTTACCAGACGGTTCTGAATAATAATTAGAATAACAATAGTTCCCTCTCACGGAGTAATTTTCCTAGAGCTCAGCTAGGCACCTTATCCCCCAGCTAGGCACTTAATCCTCCCAGCAACTCGCAAGGTAGGATTATCATTTCCATTTTGCTCAAAATTAAGGTTCAAAGATGGAAGTGACTTGTCAGGGGCATCGTAGACTTGGACCCACACCCAGGGCTAAGCGGCTGCCTCTCTCGAGCGTTTGCTTTTCCAACAGCACAGCAGTATCTCTCTCTCTCTCTCTCTCTCTCTCTCTCTCTCTCACACACACACACACACACACACACACACACACACACACGGTTTCCACCCACAACACAGACCAGCCGCACAACTCATGCACCTACACGTGAGGTCCACAAGCCTCCCCCCTCCGGCCCCCCCCCATGTTTGCCAGGTCGTGCTCCCTGCCTCCTGCCGCGCCCCTCCACCCCTCCCTCCCACTCACTGGCTGGCTTCTTGAGCTGGAACAAAACCACCTGGGCTCAGCCAGCCACGCTGACCTGCAGCCCCAAGTCTTTTGCTGGTTAATGGCAGGTCCCTGCGGCCCGCCCCACGGCCTTGGGAACAGCTGCCTCCACTTAGATTCCAGCCGCCCCCTTCCCCTCCAGGAGGGAACAAAAGAGAGAAGCTGGGAGGAGAGAGAACAGGAGGGAGGTCTGAGCAGGAAGGGGAGAAGCAAGAAGCTGGTAGGCATCCTTCCACAAGCTCTCACACCCGGCTCCCCCCAGTGATCAGGAGCCCCAGGCTGTGCAGGCCTTAGGCCTTCTCCTGGACTCTATTCTCCCACCGGTAAAACCAAGAGGAGGTTCCTTCCAGCTGAGCTGACACTCAGAGGTTGGTTCTTCCTCCTCTGGACCCAAATATCTGTCAGGGCCAGGCTGGGGGCAAAGGGGACCTGAGGTGCCGTGCTTTGCAGTTTTGGATGGTTCAACGAGCTAAAAAGAACTCTGGGTATAGAGTCCCCAGTATGGGTACAAATTCCAATTCTGTGACAGTCCCTGTGCAATTTTAGGCAGGGTCATCACTAGCCCACATGGCATCTTTGCATAAATAAGGAAAAAAATCCCTCTCTGAGAAGATACTCCCTCAGCTAGGACACGTGGCTTGGCAAGCTGAACACTGACTGGTTAGACTTTCACTCCGCTTCACCCCTTCAGCCTGGTACCTTTGTGCAGGACACAGCCTGCACAACCGTACGTGGCAGTCCTAAGCTTGGCAAGTTTCCTCTCTGAGCCCCAGTGTCTTCCTCTGTAAGACGGGGGAGATCCCATCAGCATCACAGGATGCTAGGTGGTCACCTCATCTATCTCGTTTTGCCCTTTTATCCCCGGGACGTAGCACAGAGGAGGCACTCAATGTCTGGGCGTAAAGGAACGCACAGAGAGCTGGCTGCAGGAAAAGCAGGCTACAAACTATTAAGTGCTGTCTAGTGGAAGGAAGTGTCATCTTAGGTCACTTTCACCCGGGTCAGGAGGGCCCAGGTTGGTCGGGGGCAAGGAGGAGGTGGGTTTAGCAGCTGAGGGACAGGAAGGAGAGTTAGTGGGGGCTGGGGAGCCTGGCTGTAGTGCCCACTATCCCCACAGGCACAGCCTTTTATAGTTGGTCACACAGTTTGCCTTCGCTGCCTTTGCCCCCAGTCCCATGAATTAGCTCCTCTAACCCACACCGGTGTGAGGTGAGTACAAATCACCCGTTTTCCAGATAAACAGAGGCCAAGGAGGTCAGTGACTTGTCCAAGGTCACACCGGTAGAGGAGGTAGGCCAGGATTCAAACCCAGCTCTGTCTCAGACCCGTCAGTTCCACTGGGTGTCATCATTCCCATTTAACAGATGAAGAAACGGAGGCCCCCGAAAGTTTGGTAATGCAGCTAAGCCCCACTGAAGGGTCCACCTCGGGACTTTGTGCCTCCAGCAGGGGGCGTGTCTCGTGTCCTCACCTTCCTGGGCCTCAGTTTCCCTTCTCGGAGATGGGGAAAGGGCCCCTCTCCGCCCTGTGGGAGGGGCCTGGCGGCTCAGGCTGAGCCCCGCCCTGCCGAGCTTCTTTGTCCTCGTCGCACAATGCGCCCTTGCTTGGCATTCCAGGCCTTTGTGGGCCGCGCAGCCAGGCGGCGCCCCCCGCCCGCGTTATCAGCGCCGGGAAGCGGCGGCCGGAGCTGGCGGGGCCTCTCTGGGCCGCCGCCCGAGACATGTGTTGGACACGGGCCTTTCAGGCCTGGAGCCGCCGCACAAAGGCCCGGGAAGAAGGCGGAACAAAGGGCTTTTTCACGCGGCAACTGAAAAGCCGCAGATTAGCTCGCGCGTGCTGCGCAGGCGGGGAGGGGCCGCCGGCCACCCCCCCACCCTCACTCCCACCCCCACCGCCGCCCAGACCCCTCGCCACCGCACTCGCTCAGCCCGGGTCCCTGGGCTGGAGCCTCCACGCCGACCCCCTCTTTCCTGCTCCGAATTCCCCATCCCCCCCCCCCCCCCCCCCCCACCCCCTGAATCCCGCCCCCGGGGGGGGGGGGGTGGCCACGCTCTGCCTGCTTCCCCGTTCTGTGCGTTTGGCACCGTTTGCCATTCTCTGAACAATCCCTGCCCGCCTTTCTCGGAAGGATTCTTTGCACCTCTGTTCCCTCCCCGCCCGGACTGCCTGCCCCGCCCCCTTGACAAGCCCAATTCTAGGGTCACCTCTTATGGAAAGATGATAGAATGTGCAGTGGGTGCTATAGCGCTGTGCCAGGGTCTTTGCCCGCTTCCAGCCCTCACAGCTGTGGGGTGCAAATTATTAGCCCCATTACCCAGCTGCGGAAAACTGAGGCTCAGAAAGGTTGAGGGTGCCCGCGGTCACACAGCAGGTACCGGTGCAGCAGAGATCCAAACCCAGATCCCTTTCCACCCCTCCTCTGTTGGAAAGAGTGTCTCTGCTCCCGGGGTCTCCCTGGCAGGTGGTCCCTCTTTTAGGGTGGGTTGGAGGGGACATGGGCATGGGCTCCACCTGATGCCAGGACACCTCCAATCAGCCCCTCCCTGCCTCCCTCAGGTACGCCATTGACCGTGACTCCGATTTGGATCAGATCTTTGATATCGATGCGGACACGGGCGCCATCGTGACGGGCAAGGGGCTGGACCGCGAGACCGCGGGCTGGCACAACATCACGGTGCTGGCCATGGAGGCTGGTGAGCCGGGGGGCGGGGCGGATATGGGGGGGGGGGGGACGAGGGCAGAGTGAGGGGCGGGGCTGAGGCGGGGCAAAGAGAAAGAAACCCAGCGCTGATGGCTGAGTTGCAGGAGGCAAAAGCTGATGGGCAGGAGCAAAGACCTGGGAAGGATCCCAAGCTGAAAGGCGAAGAGCCGGTCTTGAAGCTGGCTTCCTTCTTTGAGCATTTATTGAGCACCCATTACATACGAAGCCCTGTTTTAGAGGCTGGGGATACAGCCCTGAACAAGACAGAAAAGCTCCTGTCTTTGTGGGGGAGGGCTAGAGTGTCAGCAAACTGATGGAAAGGGTGTACATATGTCAGATGTGTGAAGGGCTAGTAAGAAACCGGGAAGGAAGGCCAGGGAAAGGGACTGGGAAGAAGAGGGTGTTGTTGCTCTTAGAAGAAGGCCTCCCTGAGAAGGAGACATCTCAACAGAGACCTCACTGAAGTGAAGGAGTCGGGCCCATGTCTAAGGGAAGAGTGTTCTAAGGGCAGAGAACAGCCAGTGCAAAGGCCCTGAGGTAGTAGTTTGCCCAGCACGTTGGAGGAACAGCGAGGAAACCAGCATGGTTGGTGAGGGGCAGAGTGATCAGCCATTGTAAGGTCTTTGGACTCGACTCTAAATGAGGTGGGAATCACGGGATGGTGTCGCCATTTGAGCCAAGGAGGGGCCATTGCCTGACGGGATACCTCTGGTGGCTGCTCAAGAATAGACTGGGGGCTGAGGGGGAAAGCAGGAGCTCAGCTGGAAGTTAAATGTGACAGTGGCCTGGGCCAGGGCGATCAGCCACGGAGGGTGCGAGATGTGACCAGCTTTGGGAGACAGGCTGAAAATGGCGCCACACAATGACCGCCGTGGAGGTAAGAGATGGAGAGGGGTCCAGGACTACTCTGAGCTGCTTGGCCTGGGTTTCTGGAAGAGGGCGTGTGTGCGTGGGCAACCGGGGAGGAGTGTGGGCTGGGAGGGAAAAGGTGTGTATGCATGGGGTCCAGATAAGTAAGGCCATGGAAGTGAGGAGCTAAGAGCGCAGGGGTTGACAGAGCCCCAGGAGAGGGGAGAGTGCACTTGCCGGGCCCTGGTCCCCAAGCCCCAAGCCTCCCCCCTCCCCGCCCCCCATCAGCTCTCAGGCTACAGGAGCCAGCAGAGCTGTCTGGAAGCAGCCCTGACACAGCAGAGAGCCTCTGAGCCTCTGAGCCTCGGGTGGGTGGGCGACATTCAGACTTGCCTCTGCACACTTCGGCCCCAAGCCCCTCCGGCCCGTGTGAGCCCCCCTGCCGGCCTTCCTCCTCCTCCGCCTGCTGGCCCCCTCCCACTTTGCGGGCCCCACCGGCCCGTGGGCCAAGGAAGTCCCTCGGCTGAAGTTCCCTTGGTCTCTTTCAACTGCAGTTTAAAAGAAAATACAAAGCTGGCTCAAACCTCGTGCCTGCTGCTCCAGAGCCTTTGAATCCACTCCTCCACGGCATGAAAGGGAGATAAGAAAGGTGGCTGGAGAGGAAGTGGCGGCTGGACTAGGGGGGAGGAGAGCTCCCCCCCCCTACCTCCCTGAACCTGCTCCCTGGGCAGCTGGGGGGACTGGCCCGGCCGCTGGGCCGAGATGCCTCCTCTCCCCGCCCACAAACGCGTGTCCCCCGCTAGCCTGTCACACTGCCTGATACCCCACTCTTGGGTGAAGCCAGTGGGTCTCTTTTCAGAAAGCAGCTAGAGTGGCAGACAAAGTCGGTAACGCTGCCATCGCACAGGAGAAGGTGGAGGGGACCCTCCCACAAACATCTTACAACGTTAACCTAATACACGTTCTGGGCTAGATGCTTTCTAGGGGGGACTTTAATTGAATCAGGATCCGTAACCTATCAGCACCCGTTTTACCGACGGGAAGATGGAGGCCCAGAGAGGAAACTGGCCCAAGGAGGTGCAGCAAGCCTGCCTGGTTCCCTCTACGCCATTGCCACGTGGGCTCCCTTTTCCTGGTACTCTCCGCAGCCAGCCCCACCCCTCTCCCACCCACCCGTCCCTAGCAGCTGAGCATGGGGTAGATGAGGCTCGGAAGGGAGAAGACTGATTACTGGGCTAGACATCCTCCCCCTCAACAACCCCTGCCCAACCTTCACCAGGTATTAATCAATGGGAAAATGAATGGCTCCCACTTCACAGAGCTGGTGGGAAGATTCGGTAGGATCACGCATGGAAAGAACTTAGCCTAGTACTTAATAAGTGCTCAATTAGTGGTATGTATTGATCCTGACTCTGTGCACTTGACTTAAGCACCAACCCGGCGCAAGGCATTTTACAGTGTTGCCTTCGCTGAATGTTCCCACCTGAGAGGTGTCGGCTCTGCCCTTATCCCCAACGTGTGGATGGGAGGTGAAGTCGTTCGTCCACATTCCCAGCCCCAGCCCGTCTGACCCCAAAGCCCGGCTCGCCCCCAGATGCCCCTCGAGTCGCGTTTCTCTGGTGCCAGGCACACATCCGAGAGTGTCACAAATAACCCACCCACTCCAGCTTCTCACCATGGGTGTGAGACAGGGGCAGAATGATTATCCCCACTTTACAGATGAGGAAATAAAGGCTCAGGGAGGAACAGCGATGGCACCATGGTCACAGAGCAAATCCGTGCGGCGCCAGGGCTCCACCCCAGCCCTCCTGCCTCCCAGCAGCCAGCCAAGTGCAATGCCAGTGGGTCTGCCCGCCCATGCCCCCCTGCGGAAGCATCCATTTGACTTGCTCAGAAACCGAGGATGCTGGCAGGGTCACAGTGGCCCCACTTGCTCCGGGCGTAACAAACACGAGGCGACAAGAATCAGAGGGGAAATATTTATACACAGTGGCGGAGCTTGGTGAGCCCCCTTGGAGAACGTTGCACTCGGTCAGGAGCCACTGCCACTGTCATACTGGATTACCTCAAAGACTCCCGAGCCACTTAGTATGCCGGCTCCCCTCTCCCCGAACTTCTGAGTCATCCATTCTGCCCATGCAGACGCTCCTTCCACTGACATTATCTTTAACGTTTTGTAATCATGAAATATTAATGACCAATATTGAATTTAAAGTACAATTTGTGTCTGAATCCTTTGGTGGAAAGGGCAGTTGTAAAGGGACAGTCTTCAAAGAGACGGGGGTGTGGACTTGGAAAGCCAGTGCCAGGGATGGGGGTGCCAGGGGCTGCATCCGGCCCCCTCCCCCAGCATCGTCTGGCCCTACGCTGGTCTGGAGGGGGTGGTCACTAGCTGCCGGGAACAGCAAAGAGTTAACCAGATTAGCAAGAAGCTTCCCCATCTGGGTCACCCCGGGCCCGAGTACGTCTTACAGCACCCTGGTTTTTCCGTCATACCGCGGAGCTCGCGTTATGATTTACATATGCATTTACGTGTGTACCTAATCTCTTTTCCCCAGGAAGCGGTACCCTCCATGAGGGCAGGGTCTCATCTGCATCTGCCCTGTTCATGCAGGGCTGGCACTTAGTAGGCGTGTGTAAATATTTACCAAATGGACGGATGAATGGGCTGACCCGCCCAGTTAGGAAAGCAGGGGGCGTGGCAGGCAAGAACTCTGTGCCAGTTGCGGGGTGAGTTTGGACAGGTCAGTCCCCCCCCCCCCCCCCGCTCATTGCCTTAGTTTCCTCATCTGTAAAGTGGCACTGTTGTTAGATGGCTGCAAACATAATAACTTTACAATGTCTTTACGATAATAGCCGCTTGTGCTTATTTGACGCTTAACGGTGTGCCAGACATCATGTCGAAGGCTTTATATAAAGCATCTCATGTCGTGTACATTTTAGTCTGTGCGTGTAAAGTGCCTAGCATGGTTCCCAACACACGGTACGTGCTATTTGTAGCCAGAGAAAGAATCGGAGGGCAGAAGGAATGTCAGAGATGAGGGACTGCAGTCGCCACCCGCCCCCGCTTCATAGCTGGGGGGACTGAACCCAAGGAAGGGAAGCAACTTACTCAAGTCCACCAGTAAGGCCTTATGACTCCCAGTCCAGTGCTCCTTAGGAGGACAACAGAGGGGGATCTGAGGAGGCTGGAGGAAGGAGCAGGGATGGGGGTGAGGGCTTGCAGAGGAGTGAGAAGGTGCCACAAGGACACGCCCCTCCCCCACGTCTACCCTGGGCCAGTGTTTTCTGAGGGCCTCTAGCCACCACCCATCCTGGGCTGGGTGCTGGGACCTGGTGGTAAACAAGGCTTGGCCACTGCCTTCCGAGCTCACGGAGGGGGGTGGGGCAGGGGCTAGACACGCCAACAGTCAGCTAGAACACAAAGTGGAAGTAAGGGGACAGTGGGCACTCAGGAGGAACACGAAGGGACTTGCCCACCCGGAGGGGAAGAAGGCAAAAAGCCTTTCCTAGAGGAGGGCACATCTGAGTTGGGTCTAAAGGGCTGAGGCAAGAGGGTTTGTTGGCTCCAGGCAGAAAGACCTAGAAGCTGGGCAGTCCACTGGCCATTCTGAGAACAGGGAGATGGAGCGTGGCCAGGGGCCGGGGCTGGGGGCCGGCTGCAGCAGGCCGGTGAGGCGAGCATGCAGAAACTCACTGGTCCTCTACAGGAAGGGCCTTGGATGTCCTGTGCGGAGCCAGACATCTCCTGGAGACAATGGGGAACCAATGCAGGTCTTTGAGCAGAAGACTGATATGGTCAGATGAGCGGTCCCAACGTTCGCTTGGGTTCATGGCTGAACAGGAGGGGGCTGGCCCGGAGCAGGAAAACAGAGGGGAGGCCGTTGTGAAGACTCAGGCTTAGACACGAGCCGGGGGTGTGAGGGCAGGGCTAGGACGGGCAGGAAGAGGCGCCAGGGGAGCAGAGTCTGGGCAAGAGGCTTGGCACAACCCTGCATGGAAGGGGCTGCTTTGAAAGGCACTGAACTCCCCATCACCAGAGGTATGTAAACCAGGCCTGGGTTCCTCGCGCCATGGGTGCCTCCCAGACTCCTGTGCCATCTGAGTACCTAACAGATGACGCCTGGAATAAAGGGTTCGTGA